TTTTTCATTTTTTGGGGGGGCTACAGGGTATATACATTTGTTGGAGACAGAGAGATGGGGGGGAGGTGGAGGAGAAAGCACTCCTCACAGGGAATGGTCACACTGCAATGCCTTCTCTTCCATTTCTCTCTCTCTCTGTGGGATTTGGGGCACATATGCACATGCATCTGTCATGTTTCTCAAGCCCTGTGTTTGGGACTTGAACCACATGTGGGATATGGCTGCCTTAACCACCAGGCCACAGGCTGGCCCAAAAAGTATTTTTCTATGGAGGCCAAAATAATCACATTAGCTATCTCTTCTTCTAATTCTATACCTCTCAAGCAAACTCCTGATTAACAACTTCTTTTCCTAGATATTTATTTCCATGATAGAAAAGGGATGCCCTAAACTGGAGATGTGAATGTATTGTACATTACAAAGTGCTACCTCCCATTCTGGATTTCTGGTTATACACAAAGCCTAGAAAGCAAATTAGAAACCATTAAAGGATGGAAATAAAGTGATTGAAAGGCAAGAAAAGAATTCTAGGAATAAAGTATAGAAGTCAGGGACCTGTAAAAGAAGCTAAGGTGTGGTCAAATATGTTTGTACACCCTTTGTGAAAATGTGACCCCTCAATGATAAGTGATAAGAAGGTAACAATCACTGCAGGCAGTATGGGAAAAGTATATGGATAAACAATCTATGAAAGAACACACCTTAAAAATAAAAAAGAACATTTAAAAAATAAAGTTTAGATTCTTTTCTACTTAGACAAAGAAACAGCAAATTAAAATAAACATGTAAGAAATATCTTATTTTCACTCATGATGCCCAATAGGCTACAGACAAGTACCAGTCTGTGGCCCAGGGTTTGGGGTACTCTGCTCTGGACAACCAAAACCAGAGGCACTGAAAATCTAAAAGGCATACCAAAAGAAAGCGATATATTTTTTCTCAGAGGTTTTTGCAATAGGGTGCGTGTGCTCGCCAGACAGACAGAGAGAGACAGAGAGACAGAAAGCAAGAAATCACCCCCCAAGGGGGATGGTCATGTCACAATCCCTTCTCCTCCATTCTCCTCTTGGGATCTTGGGCACGTATGCACATGTGCCTGGCGTGAGTTCAAGCCACCGGGTCTGGGACTTGAACCATGGTTGACTACGTGGGAGTCCAGCGACATAGCTATTATGCTAACTGCTGGTCCCATCAAAAGGAAGTGATATTTAACACCAAGTGAGAACTGAAAGATCAGGACAAATTATGTCATGATCTTGCATTCTGAAAATAAGTAACTTAAGGACATAATGCTAACAATAACTTGAGTTGCCAGGCACCATACTAAGAACTTTACATAAACTGTTTAACAGTCTTATAAAAAACAAACAAACAAACAAACAAAAACTACTATGTCTATTTTAAGGATATTTTATTCTATGTAGAAAAATAAACCTGGATTCCTCACCTCATATCAGATATCCCAGAAACTAAAGATCTCATTGTGAAATTCCAACTCTAAAGAAAATAGAAGAAAATATAGAATACTACCATGACTTTGGGGAAAGACAGGACTTACAGATTTGACTACATCAAACTAAAAATCTTTGTTCAAAAAAGGGTATCACAAATAAAATTTACAGATGGGACTAGCTCCATAGCCAGATGGTTAAGGGAGGTGGATCCCGTATGTCCAACTGCATGGTTTGATTCTTGGCCCTGGTGTACAGAAAACATGCCAGGCGCATATGTGTGCATGCTCAAAATCCCAACAGAATGGAAAAATGGAGGAGAAAGGATTGCAATGTGATCATGCCCTGTTTGGGGGTGGTGGTGGGTGTTTTCTCCCTTTCTCTTTTTCTCTCTCTGTCTGGTGAGCACACATGCCCTCTGGCAAGTTAAACAAATTTACAGATGGGTGACAGACTGGAAAAAATTATTTGTAACATCTAAAATGGAAAAGAGATTTATACCTGGAAAATAGACTATTCTGTAAATAAACTAATTGTCTTCAAACATGAATTGTTGTATAAACAGACTGATATTTGAAACATGAGTTCTTTTGTGTTCTTGTAAAATCCAATAAGCATTTTAGGCTTTGTGGGCTTTGCTGTAACTGTTCAACTCAGTCACTTGGCACAAAAGCAGTCATAGACAATATATAAATGAATATAGCTGTGTTCCAATAGAACTTTACTTAGGAAAATTGGTAGCAAGTAGGATTTGGCCTGCAGGCCATAGTTTGTTGACTCCTAATCTAGAATATAAGAAATTCCTATGTATCAATAAAAATAAAAAATCAGGACATCCAGTGGAAAATGGGGCAAAAGATATCAATAAATAATTGGCAGAATGAAAAATCCAAATGGCTAAACAAGTATATGAGCACACAAGTTTATAAATAATGCAAAAAATGCAAATTAAAATGAAAGGTCATTTTATATCCAATTGGTTCGTCAGAACCCAGAAGTCAGATAGTTCAGGTGGGGGTAAGGGTATTGAGAATCATGAAACCCTCATGCCTTCCTGATAAGAATGTCATTTATAAAAAGTCCTGCTGGAGTTTAATCTGGCAGTGCTAAGGGAAATTAAGTATGCATTTTCATATACCAAATAAAGGAGAACACTTTGAAAAAGGGCAGCAGGCAGCCTTATACATCTATTTTGTAATTAAAGACAATATACATGATCTTTATTTTTCTCATTTCACTACGGATGGACAAAAATGCCATCATAGACTGTCACTGGCCCACAGATCAACAGTTACGAATGTAACATATTTCAGAAACGAAGAAACACTCAAATGTTCTTTGAGTCTAATTCTTTTCTTTTTTTTTTTTTTTGAGAGAGATTTTTTTTTTGCTATTGGGCACATGTGCTTGCCTGAGAGACAGAGAGACAGAAAGTGGGAGACCTTCCCCAGGAGGAATGGACACACAGTAATCCCTTTTTCTCCATTCTTCTCTTAGGGTTTTGGGCACACATGCACATGTATCCAGTGTGAGTTTTTTTAAATATAATTATTTGCTTTTATTTATTCATTCATTTTAATTTGACCAGAGAGAGACACAGAGAGACAAACAAAGGAAAGTGAGAAAGCAAGCTACCAAGTCTAGGACTTGAACCGTGGTTGGCCATGTGAGAATGTCCAGTGCCTTAACCATATCACCTGCTGACCCTGTGGTATGATTTTTGTTTTTTAAGCTACCAGGTCCAGGACTAGAATCGCTGTCAACTATGTGGGAGTCCAGCAATGTAACCATTACACCATCTACTGGTCCCTCGAGTCTAATTCTTCACAGTTTAGAATTTCGTAAATATCTGTTTTATGATTTGTCACAGGGCATTTGTGCTCACAGAGAGAGACAGAGACAGAGACAGAGAGGGAAAGGAGAAAGAACCCCCCTCATGGGGAATGGCCATGCTGCAATCTCTTCTCTTTCAAGTCTCCCTCCTGTCAGGATTCTGGGTACACCTGGACACACATGCACAGGTATTTCTCAAACCGTTGGATCTAAGACTCATAATCACAGTTGGCCAAGTGGGATCCAGCAACCTTAAACACAAGGCCATGGATTGGTCCTAGAGTTTATCTTTTAAGATGAGAGCTGGATTTATGATGCCTGATTAGTGGAATGTAAAATACACATGAATTCACGATAAAGTGAGGCTTTAATTTGATATGGAGGACCAATGATAGAGTTCTACTCTTAGATATTTCTGGGTTTTCTCTCCTTTACAGTTTAAGAAACAAATCAGTAGACAAGTTTGAGAAGCAGTCAGTTAATAAGGGACAATTATAGACCACTCATCAACTTTTAGCCATAAATTAAGATATAAGGGTGTTTTTTTTCCTCTTTTAAATGGGAAACTAAATTATATAATATAACCTGTTTGGTAATTAGAATTACAACTTTCTCTGGCTATTTTTTTAATACCTCCACTCTGAGTATTATCTATCATAGCAGGAGGTTCTATAATAGAGGCTTTCTAAAGTTCACTGACTTTATCTGCCAAGGTCTGATAAAATATACAATGTATTATGCAAATTGGTGTGACCTAAATAGCAAGAGTAGCTTACAAATATACTAATTAAAGAGGCTTATTGTCTCAAAAAAGTATATCTACAGGCTTTACCTTAAAATTAATGTTATTCAATTTTATTCCAGAACTGAAAATAAATCCTGTGTTAAAATAGTTGTGAAATAACTAAAACACCTTTTTCCTCTCATTCTTTACCACATGTAAATTTATTTTAAAAGTTAGATTGTACTAAAGCATGTGTATAGTATTATTTGATCAGACATTCAAAGAAAATGATTTATGATCAGACATTCAAAGAAATAAAAATTGCATATTTTAAATGGATGCACTTTATGGTATTGTATCTCAACAAAGCTGTTTTTAAAAAAGTGGTTTAGATAATTCGTCATCTAGTTTTATGGCTCTTAACTATAGCGTAACAGGATCA